CTACCAGAGCACCTTTCTCACTGCTCTCGCCTCTTTGTCTTTCATGTAATGCCATTCTGCGTCGTCTGGCAGACTCGAGCACAATTTTTAACAATTTTCTCTACCTGCATCGCAGCAGGATTTTCCTCTAGCACAGCTGGTGCAAAATGCATGTGAGTGAGGAGAGCCGAAATTGCTGGCCAGGCATGCCAGGAAAGCCTCAGTAAGCTGCTTTTCGTGGCCTGGAGCTATGGACCTTCCTGTGGGCTGGAAGGTGATGTGGAGTCTGTGTTTTTTGTTAATTTTTTTTTTCAAGGAAATATGCTTTTGGGAGCTGCTCTGTTTGGCAATAGCCTGGGTCCAGAGCTTAAAGATGTATGGGACTGGAATTGCTGCGGTTCCTCAACCTTGCAAATTCCAAGAGGCAAATAACAGCCTACCTACAGTTCCCTGACCCTCGAGCTCACCTGGACACAAGGTGTGCCAGGAAACCTTGGCCTCCCCTCCGAGCCACTCCAGGTGTAGGCCAGCACCCTGGGGAGTCAGAGCATGGTGTGGGTGTCCCTTCCTCTCAAAGGAAGAAATCTTTTGCCTTCCTGCTGCTGTTTCTGGAAATGTGTCCCTCCTAAACTGCTTGGTGGTAGATGACAACCAAGGGAATGCTGGGGTAGTGTCCCTAATTTTTAAGCGCCATCCCTCATGTAGGACACCTGTGCTCATGTCTCCAGAGCAGAGCAAGCTGGAAGGGCACTTCTTTGTGGTGCAACAAGAAACCCTCCCTGAGGTGGATCCAGACTGTCCTGGGAGTCCCCGTGAGCCGCTTTGCCAGGGCAGATAAATAGTGCTGCTGGTGCTTGCCGTGATCCGAGTGTCCCAGTCATCCGACACGCAAAGACCTCCAGTATTCTACCTGCAAGGCAGGCTTCGAGGTTCCACATGGAAGTGATGCTCCATTAAACCCAGTCACCTGCCTCAGGCTTTGTGCTGGGATGGAGGTGAAAGTCCAGGGAAATGCTCGGTTGCCTGGCAAAGCTGCTCGAGGAGGAGGAAGGCTCCTTGCTGAAGCCAGGGCAGCCAGTGCTGGAGAGCAGCGTGATTTGCTCACCTCTGTCTTCGGGGCTTACGAGGAGGAGTTGCTCATGACCGCATCCATTTTTAGAATTTGCCATGAAACGCTCTTTGCCCTCCTGTAGTGGTAGATTATAGATGCCTGACCTGTTTCAGTGCTCTAAATTTTTTGCATTCTCTTAACTCCCCTGCTTTTTTCATAATCTTAAAAAGCCCAACTAAATCCTGACACTTCCCCTCTCAAAAGTAAATAATCTTTGCTATGACGCCTCTTGCTCATCTTTAAGGCTTTCAATGCTGAAGATGTGTGTGATCTTCCTTATGGTGTGGAGAAAAAAAAAGCCCTGAGTGTGCAGATTGAGAAAAGGGCAAACTGTGGTTTAATAGCACATCCCCACGACATGCCTGCATCATCATCTCGCCGTCACAAACACCCCCACCACCCCGTCTGCTGACTTCACTGCAGTGCTGTGGTGGGGAGTTTGTTCCTGGGAGAGGCTGGATGGTTCGGTCCTTCTGGGAGGAGAGCAGGGGATTTACTGGATTCTCAATACCTTCTGATGCAAAAGGCAGCATTTTTTTTTCCTTTGTTTTTTTGACTTTTCGGGGCTGTTCCCCCCCATCTTCTTGTAAGCACGGGAGGATGCAGACATGAAGATTTGTGGAAACCAATGTATTTCTTTTTTCCAGATGCTGATTTCCATCAGAAGAGGTGGGGGATTACTGAAAATTGTATTTCCCTTTCTAGTGGCTACTGATAAAAAGAGCCAGATTTTTCTGCTGAAAAACTTAAGACCACAGAATACATCAGATATAGTGACCAGGAGCAGAGAAGTGAAAAATGTAGACAACTAAATAAATCAGCTGGGGGGAACTTGCTTTTCAGATGAAAAGATAAATTCATTATAAAAAATTTGCTGTGAGGATGAAAATGTTTTAGGGGAAACTTTAAAGAGAAAAGTGCACCCAGTTCAGCCCATGAGCTGTGAGCTCCCTGCCCCCTCCTCCTCCCTCCGTAAAATAAAGAAACTTTCCCCGATGAGCTGGCTGTGTGGACCAGCGCGACAGTGCCTGGGGGTGAAGTCTCATTGGAGGAAACAATCTCATTTTAATCTCTGCCCAGAGTCTGTTTGAGTATAAGGGCGGTCCTGAACCTGTGGGAGCTGTAGCAACCTGGTGGCAGCTGTAGTGTGAAGCCTTTCCCAAAGACTTCAGCTTCCTTCCCCAGGCAAAGTTTTTCCCAGTGCCTCCATCATTTGTTTTCATCCCCAAATCATCTGCAGCTGGGGTTGGGGTAAGGTCCTTTTTATCTACTGGGGGGCTCATGGCTTCCCAGCACCTGCTTGGGAAGGGAGCCTACAGACTGGAGCTCCTTCTCCCTGACCTTGTCCCCAGGGCTTGCAGAAGCCGGGTGGCCGTGGCTGTGTCCATGTCAGGGTGGTTGGTGGCTGTTGCTGTGTCTGGCTCTCAAGCCAGCAGGGTGTGATGCACCTTCCTCCTTTGCTGCTTCCCTCTCCAGGTCCTTGAGTTCGTGCTGCTCCTGGCTCGTGTTGGCAGCCGGTGCTGCCTCTGAGGGTATCTTCTGGCTCCACTGCAGCGTAAGAAAGCCCTTCAGATACCAAACCCCTGGGTAAGAAGCTGGTCTGTTCCAGAGCGTCACCCTTCAGATATTGCCAGCCCTTCTTTGTGCCATTTGCGGATGTTGCCAGCCCTCTTGTTGGCTCCTGAAGCCGGGAGATGTTATTGCTACAGCCTTGCCTAGCTGGTGGGTTGGTTTTGAACTGAGACAGCTTGGATGACTAAGGCAAAAAACGCATGGGCAGCAGAGTCCAGGGCTTCCTTACTGTGAGGGAAGTGAAAGTGTCCCCCTGTTGACGACAGCCTTGACTTCTCTGGAGGGTCCCTTCTGAAAGTTAATATTTTGTGTTCTAGGTTCAGCCCAAATGCAGAAGCACATCCTCACCATCAGCTGTTGAGGTGAGGTGCTCCAGGAGCGAGGAGGGGTTCACTTTCTGACTTGTGATGGATGGAAGCAACAGAGGGTGTTGGAATAAACAGGATTAAAGGATTTCGTCCTTAAATACAGGATTAAAGGTACCCAGTGCTCAGCGGGAGTCATTCAAACGAAGGAGAAACAGAGTAAGTTCTCCAGAAGGGCGCAAGGCTCTGTGTCCAGGCAGCCTGGGCGCCCACAGCCCTGCACCGCCTCACTGGTGGGTGCTG